TAAACTCTTAGACATAAAGAAGATGAATGTTTATTTTAAGGTCTTCAGAACAGGAAAAACTCTCTCTCCTTTAAAAATATTTATTTGTATTTTAAGGTTATGTTTGTATGTATGTGTCTTTGCACATGTAAGGGCAGGTCCCTCTAAAGTGTAGGAGAAGGCATTGGATATGCTGATGGGGAGTTATAGGTTGTTTTGAACCATCTGAATTAGGTGTTGCGAACCAATCTCGGGTCCTCTGAAAGGGTAGTGCATGCCCTTAAACGTGAGCCATCTCTCTATACTGTCTCTACTTTGAATGGAACTGTTTGCGATAAGCAGAGACTTGTTGTTATATTACACAGAAAATTTATACAAAAATTGTTGAGCTAGGTCATTTTCCCATGTGTGCACCTTGCATACTGCTTCTTTCTCTCTCAACTTTTCCAGTTATAAAAGGAAGTCAGAACTTTTGAGTGTACATCGGAATCTTACATATGTATGTGCTTGGGTAGGAACTGTGTGAGTTATGTTTGGAACAACAAAAATGTTCCAAGGAAGCATGTTGATTTTTTTCTGCTGATTCTAACAGACTACTCAAAGACATTTAATACCATTTACCTTTTCTTTCCATTTTTCATCTTACGTTTTAATTTTGTCTTTCCATACCACTCCAAGAGAAGTTTGGGTGATATTTGCATGGTGGAGTACTCTTGTTTTATAGGTTGATGCAGTGTTAGAATCAAAACCAATATACATTTCTTGTGGCATGCTGGTGCTCTACAAATTTATGGGATCACTAAAATTCTGAGTTTTCTTCCAAAAGGGCACATGGGATATATAAACAATTTCACAACAGTTAATCAAAAGAAGCCTAAGAAAATGTCTCAAAAGCAGCAGAAATTAATATTTTTCAGTAATTACTTTTGTTTTATTAATAGCCTGAACAATCCATTTAAAAAATACAGACTAACAGACTGGGTAAGAAAACAGGCTCCATCTTTCTGTTGCCTCTGAGAACACACCCCAACATTAATAATAGACACCAGCTCAAGGGTAAAAGGATGGGAAAAGATATTCTAAGCTAGGGAATTAAGACACATGTAGGCATAGCTATTATAACATCTGATGAAATAGATTTCAAGTCAAAATTAGAGAGATAAGGAGGGTCATTTCATATTCATCAAAAGAAATCCAACAAGAGGCTATTACAATTCTAAGCATATACACACTAAACACAGGAGAATCCAGTTTATAAAAGAAATACTATTATTCCTAAAACTACAGATTAACCACAAAATAGTGATAATGGTTGATTTCAGTAGCCTACTATAGTCAATGAGTAGGTCATTAGGACAAAAACCAGAGAAAATCTGAAGTTAAATGACATCATAAATCAAATAGACTTAACAGACATCTACCGTACATTCTACCTCAATACTAAACAACACACATGCTTCTAAACAGGGCATGGAACTTTCTACAAACCTGACCACTTATTAGGATGCAAAGCATGTTTCAAAATGTAGGAAAGCTGAAATAATATCCCACATTTTATCTGACCACAGTGGTATAAGGTCGTATATGAACACCAGTAGATTCTACAGAAAGCATACAAACTCACAGAGACTGAACAACACACTACGGAATGATAATTGACTCAAGGGAGAAGTTGAGAAGGAAATGTAAAGAATTCTATAATTGAATGTAAATGAAAACACAGTATGCAAAAATTTATGGAGCATAATGAAGGTAGTCAGAACAGGCAAATTTAGAGCACGCAGTATTCAAAAATTTGAGATATATCAAATGAACAAGTTAATGATGTATTTGAAGGCCTTTGGAAATAGAGAACAAATAACTTACCCAAACAGTAGATGGGAAGAGATGATCAAACATTGGCTGAAATAAACAAAATAGAAAGAAAAAATCAATAAAATGAAGAATCAATGAAATGGAGTCATTTCTTTGAAGAGGTTAACAAGATTCATAAATTTTAGTCAATTTAAAAAAAATAAAGAGAAAGAGGATCCATATTATTAAAATTAGAGATTAAATGCAATATATTACAAGAAATACCGCAAAAATCAGTGAATCATGAATAAATACTTTAAAAAATTTATATTCTACCAAACAGAAAAATATAAAAGAAATGTGTGAATTTCTAGATACATGTGATCTATCAAAGCCAAATTGATATGAAATAAGTATTTTGTACAACCATAACATCCATTTGAGGTTGAATCCGTCGTTAAATATTTACAAACTAAAAAGAAGACTAGGGAAAGATTGATTCAGCATAGAATTCTCCAGACCATCAGAGATTAAACACCAATACTTTTCAAGCTATTATGTAACATACAAAATGAAGGAACATTTCTGAGTTCTGTTTCTGAATCCAGTATTACCCTGATATCAAAACCAGACAAAGACCCAATAACAAAAAGAAGAAAGATAATTATAGCCCAATCTCTGCTGAACATTTAGATTCACAATAGGCTACAGAATACAAACAGCAAATCTACTGTAAACCAAACTCCACACTCTCAGAACTGCACTGTATCTCATCCCTTAGCACAAATGTATGCTTTCTTGTTTTTAAATTAGTACCTTGCCTTTCCCATTTAACTAGATATACCACAATCTTAGAGACCCAGTGGAAAAAATGTGTCAGGTACTTGAAAATGTAATGTGCTGTTCCTTTTCCTTCTTTTTTTGTGGGCTCTAAAGAATGTTTTTAAACAATTTAATACTCCAGTTAGAGTGTGTCAGAATATACCACAATAGAAAGAAATGAAACATTTTGGAGTTGTACAATAGTGCTACTACATTTTCTAATGGCCACTGATGAGTAATGGAGAGTCACACAAAAAGTTCTCAACAAAATGTTATATATACTGAATTCAAGAACTAATCCAAAATGTTATCTGTGAATCGAGTTGGCTCCATCCCAGTGATGTATGAAAGGTTCAGTGTATGTAAATTAATACATTAATACCACAGTTATAAATGTTTTGCCTATGCATGAGGCTATGCACTCTGAGGTGACTCTGGAGCAGGAAAATAATATGTAAATTTTGTAGGAGAAAAGATTAATGTGCAGTGTAAAGTGTCACAGTTTCCTGTATCCTGAGCATGCACACACACACACACACACACACACACACACACACACATACACACACACTCACACACAATTTTTTTCACAGGGTCTCTAGGTAAAAGAAACAAGGAGACAATTATCTATATCTATAAGACCATCAGAAGAATTCTTCAGGAGAGGCTCCCTACCCAGGTGATTCTAATATATATATATATGTGTGTGTGTGTGTGTGTGTGTGTGTGTGAACTTGGATTGTAAACTTATTCACATACAATGCTGGCCTGTCCTGGAAGTGAATAGCCACTGAAAAAGACCTGATACAGAAGTCATCCAATTATATGGGCACAATTTGGACTCTATTTCACAATGGGGACTGGGAATATAAAATTTAGAATTTAGGAATTGTATTGGTATTCTTTTAAAATCTCTGATAAGTGGTTTTCATACACTGTAAACAAATAATATGTATGAAATTTATCATGTCAAGATTGATCTCCTAGTGTAATGAAATGTTTTTTAGTTTATGAATAGGGAATCCTATACAAACCAAACCTGATTCAGGATAAGATGATCTGAGGGAAACTGTGTTATTAGAACAAGCCTCATGATAACATGCAGACAGTTATCAGGCAATGATATAATAACTATTCATTAAATGGCCTGTGTTTTTCTAATTTGATATTATTTTCCTATTGGAGAAATTATTTTGGCCACTCTATGTAGTTAAAAGGATATTTATTTAATGGCGTAACTCACAAATTAAGTAATAGTTAGGTCGCAGGGTCTGGGGAAGGTGTATCGCAGTCCAGCAGTGTTCTCTGGAGCTCTGCACTGTCCACCTTCACTGTTCAGCATCCCGGCACACAGAGAGCGCACAGAGAGAGCGCTGGCCCACCCAGCTCTTGGGTCTCCAGGCGCCTCCCCTCACCCTGCCTCATAGGTGTGGCAGTTGCCAGAGTCTCAATGGGGGTTGGAACTTCCAGATCCAAGCTGGAATGGCTACCCACTACATTTTTCCTGCTCTGTTCAACTCTCAGATATAAGACAAGAGAGGGTACAAATAGTTCACCCCTCTAGTTACACCTTAATTCCATTTTTCTCCTATTTGTGGATTTATGAAACACCCGTCCAAACCCTTGACATGAGTATGCCATTCCTTGGAGCAGCCATTTCCTTAAAAGTTGTATAAAATTAAACCACAGTATACTTCACTGTTCCTAAAACCCTTAATGTGCTGTGACCCTTATTGAAAATAATTATTTTTGTATACATTCGTGTTTATTCACTTGTACAACAGTTTATCAGATGCTGGTCTGCTGTTTA